CCCTCCTCACCCCCTGCATCCTTCCTGCATCCTCCCTGCGCCCCCTCCTCACCCACTCCATCCCCCCTGTGCTCCCTCCTCACCCTCTCCATCCTCCCTGCTCCCCCTCCTCACCCCCTCCATCCCCCCTGTGCTCCCTCCTCACCCCCTGTCCCCCTCCTCACCCCCCAGGCTCCTTCGGGGCCCCGCACACGGGTGGGGTTGGGGATGGGGGTCCCTGGGGGGGTTTTGAGTGGGGCTGCTCCTTTCCTGACCCCTTCACCACCCCTGGGGTGAGAGGTGTGTGTGTGTGGGGGGGATCATGGAGGGGATGGGATCATCCCCCCGCAGCCCACCCCATCACAGGCTGGAAATTGGGGTCGGATCATCCCCTTTGGAGGGACTTTGAGGGCCCTCTCCCCCCTCAGGACCGGGATCCCGCTCTCCTCCCCGCGGTTCTTCCCAGCCTCTCCCTCTGCTCCCTCACAATTCCCGCTGTTCCAGCCTGTTATCCATGGCTGCTCTGTTTGGGGATGGTTCAGGAACAGAACAATCCCTTCCCCATGGCCTCGTCCCTCCCCTTCACTCCGGGATTCCCACTGGAATCCGGGCCCCTGGATTGTCCCCTGCAAGGATTCTGTCCCGGGCAGGTGCCAAAACATGGATAAAAGTGACCAATTCTTCCCTGAAACCCAAACACAGCTTCGCCTGTGCCGGACTTTTCCCATATTTAGGGCAGAAATTCCAGCCTTTTCTCTCCTCCATCCTCCCAAACCCACGTTTGGGAGGGTCGGGTCACTCAGGAGGCTCCATCCAAGCTCCATCCAAGCGGGAACTTTGGTGGATTCCAGCTGGAGGTGGGAGCAAAGGAGGGGGAGAGCGAGGCAGGCGGAACTCCAGGCAGGTGGAATTCCAGGGTTTCTCCTGCTGGATCTCTCCAAGGCAGGATGGGGATCCTGGTTTAACTGATCCCGGGGTTCTTTTCCCCAAAGAGATGCGAAGGAAGGGGGATAACGGGATAACACCCATCCCAGGGCCCCTGGGAGACTCCCGGGCTGCTGGGGTGTTTGTGACCGGAGGAACAGCCGGAGGAACAGCCGGCTGGAATTCCAGCCCTTTCCCTACGGGGCCTGGAGGGGGTTTTAAGGACAGTAACGTGGGGCCTTTGGGGCCAGCCCGGAGCGGGAGGCGCTGGAAATGCCGGGAGATGCCGTGTGGATCCTCGGGAACAGTTCTCCCTGCTCGGCTGGTGCCAGGCTGGGGTTAATTACAGGTTAATTACGGTTGAATCCCAACTGATCCCGCTGTTGAATCGTCCTGTGGATGAACTGGCAGGATTGGGATCTGGGGGGGGGTTTCCTTGCGTGGAATCCGTGTGGTGGCTCCAGGGAATGAGTTTTCCCGGGTTTTTTTTCCTATTGCTGGTTTTGAGCCCCAGCTTTGGGCGGCCCGTCTCTCCATCTGGGGAGGTTCCAGTGGGAAAAGGCCAAGGAGTCTGGTTTGGGGGCGAGGGAAGCTCCCGGAAAAGGGAAGGGGGTTTGGTTGGGAGCACTGGGATAACGCAGGCGGGATCCACCCTCTCCAGGTGGGATTTGGAGTCACCAGGTGGATTTGTTGGGGTTTGGTGGTAGAAGGAAGTGGAGCAACTGGTGGAGGTGGAGGAGGATGATCTTCATCATCCTCAGGTGCCGAGGGCCGGCGTTTCCCAGGGCTTTTCCACGGCACTTCCCAATCCTTGGAGTTACCGGGAGCCGGCGGGTGTTGCAGGGGCAGGTGAGGGGAAATCAGGGCTTTAATTAACTGTACTGGGTCCAATTAACAGCCCTGGGTGGGGCAGGTGCTGATCCTCAGCCTGGCCACGTGGGAACGATGCCGGAGCTGATCCCGGTGGGCACGAGGCGGAGCCCGGGGCAATCCAAGGATCCAGACGTTCCTCTGCTCCCAGGAACAAAGCGCTGGAATTGGAACAAAAGGCTCTGCTGCCCCGGCTGGGGGTGGTTCCCTCCGAAAGCGGCTCCTCGGGCAGGAATTTGGTGTCGTTTGGGCTGAATCTGTTGAATTTTAAGAGTTGTTAACGCTGACTTCCCACCCGGATTTGGTGCTCCGAGTTTATCCTGGAGCTTGCTCCGGGTGAACTCAGGGGAGAGACTCGGTGCAGCCTCTGGAGTTGGGTTGTTTCTTAATTAACAACCAACGAGGCGACTTTTGGGGCTGTGAAATGGATTTGGGGTAAAACCAGGGATCTGGCAGAGGGATCCATGCTGGGATCTGCCCCTGGATCTGACAGAGGGATCCGTGCTGGGATCCGTGCTGGGATCCATGCTGGGATCTGCCCCTGGATCTGGCAGAGGGATCTGTGCGGGATCCGTGCTGGGATCCGTGCTGGGATCTGCCCCTGGATCTGGCAGAGGGATCCGTGCTGGGATCCATGCTGGGATCTGCCTGTGGATGAGGCAGAGGGATCCATGCTGGGATCTGGCAGAGGGATCCATGCTGGGATCTGCCCCTGGATGTGGCAGAGGGATCCATGCTGGGATCTGTGCTGGGATCTGCCCGTGGATCTGGTAGAGGGATCCGTGCTGGGATCCGTGCTGGGATCTGCCCGTGGATCTGGCAGAGGGATCCATGCTGGGATCTGCCTCTGGATCTGGCAGAGGGATCCATGCTGGGATCTGCCCCTGGATCTGGCAGAGGGATCTGTGCTGGGATCTGGCAGAGGGATCCGTGCTGGGATCTGCCCCTGGATCTGGCAGAGGGATCCATGCTGGGATCTGCCCGTGGATCTGGCAGAGGGATCCGTGCTGGGATCCCTGTGTGAGGAGCGGGAAGAGAGGCACCGCCGACTCTCCCCTCGTTTGGTTCATTAATTAATTAACCATCCTGGGGCAGCAGGGGGTTCTGCCTGGTTTGGAGACGGGAGCAGGAGCTTTAGGAAAAATCCCGTTTTGTTGGAAAACCTCTTGGGAATAAGAAGGAATAAGGGATTGGACCCTCGGAGCGGTGCCTGTGCCCCGCAGGGTGCCGAACCCTCTGGAAGGATTCCAGGGGGCACCCTGCGGCTCTTAGGGATACAAATCCTTGGGAGCAGAGACCCGGGCTTTGGGCTGGGAGTCGGCATCCCCGGGATGGCTGTTCCCCCTCCCCAGCCCGGCTCACCCGCTCCCCGTCCCTTCCAGCTCCCGGAACGCCGCGGTGCCGCCACGGGCTCCCCGCTGGAAGAGTCCACATAAACGCCTCTGGAACGCTCGGACGGACGTCGGGAAGCAAAAATGGTAAGAGACGGGGGGGATTCCTGCCCGTGGGACGGCCGCTTGTGTCCCAGGGCGCCCCTGAGTTGTCCCGGATTCATCCCTCGGCAGCGCCCGATGCGGATCTTCGTCAACGACGACCGGCACGTGATGGCCAAGCACTCGGCCGTGTACCCCACGCAGGAGGAGCTGGAGGCCGTGCAGAACATGGTCTCCCACACGGAGCGAGCGCTCAAAGCCGTCTCCGACTGGATCGACGAGCAGGAGAAGGTCAGCGGGGAGCAGCCGGAGTCGGAGTCCATGGAGACGGCGGCCGAGGAGGAGAACAAGGAAGGAGGGTGAGGAGCATCCCTAAAAATCAGGGGGGGGGGAAAGTTGTGGGACTGGGGGGAATTAACTGACGATTGTTGGGGGCGGGTGTGGTGAATCCATCCTGGGTGAATCCCCATGGATCCGTCCCTTAGGTCGGGTGGGGCATTCCATGGGGTTTGACCGTGTGGTGAATCCATCCCGGGTGAATCCCCATGGATCCATCCCTTAGGTTGGGTGGGGCAGCATTCCATGGGGTTTGACCGTGTGGTGAATCCATCCTGGGTGAATCCCCGTGGATCCATCCCTTAGGTTGGGTGGGGCATTCCATGGGGTTTGACCGTGTGGTGAATCCATCCTGGGTGAATCCCCATGGATCCATCCCTTAGGTTGGGTCGGGCAGTGGTGCATTCCGTGGGGTTTGACCGTGTCCCGTGTGTTTTCAGGGATCAGAAGGCCACGGAGCAGCTGACGAGGACCCTGCGGGGCGTGATGCGCGTGGGGCTCGTGGCCAAAGGCCTCTTGCTCAAGGGGGACCTGGACCTGGAGCTGGTCCTGCTGTGCAAAGACAAACCCACGGCCAAGCTCCTGGAGAAAGTCGCCGACAACCTGGGGGTGCAGCTGGCGGTGAGTGGGGCCATCAGGATCCCTTTGGGATCGCTCCGGTGCCCGCCTTCCGGCTCGGGAAAGTCGTTTTCAGTGGTTCTTTGGGATTGTTAAATGAACTTCTCCTCATTAATTATGAAAGGTTTGGGTTGGAAGGGGCCTTGGAGCTCATCCCATCCCGCCCCTTCCACCAGTACACCTTGAGCTATCCCAGGTTGCTCCAAGCCCCATCCAGCCTGGCCTTTGACACTTCCAGGGATGAGGCAGCCACAGCTTCTCTGGGAAGCCCCAGCCCAGCCCCTCCCCACTCTCACAGGGAGGAATTCCTTCCCAGTATCCCACCTAACCCCACCCTCTGGCAGTGGGAAGCCATTCCCCCTTGTCCAAAGTCCCTTCCCAGCTCTCTTGGAGCCCCTTTGGGAAGAGCTTTAGGCTCCCCCCAGGAGGAGCTCTAAGGTCTCCCTGGAGCCTTCCCTTCTCCAGCTGAACATCCCCATCTCTGCCAGCCTGTCCCTGGAGCAGAGCTGCTCCAGAGCCATGGAATCATGGAATGGTTTGGCAAGATCCTGCATGTCCAGGGATCTCCAACCCTCTGCCATGGGCAGGGAGACACCTCCTGCAGCTCCAGGCTGCTCCAGGGCCATGGAATCATGGAATGGTTTGGCTTGGAGGGGACCTTAAAGGTCCTGCATGTCCAGGGATCTCCAAGCCTCTGCCGTGGGCGGGGAGACACCTCCTGCAGCTCCAGGCTGCTCCAAGGTGCTCCAGGGCCACGGAATCATGGAATGGTTTGGCAAGGTCCTGCATGTCCAGGGATCTCCAACCCTCTGCCATGGGCGGGGAGACACCTCCTGCAGCTCCAGGCTGCTCCAAGGTGCTCCAGGGCCATGGAATCATGGAGTGGTTTGGCAAGATCCTGCATGTCCAGGGATCTCCAACCCTCTGCCGTGGGCAGGGAGACACCTCCTGCAGCTCCAGGCTGCTCCAAGGTGCTCCAGGCGTTGGGCTTTGGCCGGGAAGGGCAGCGGGAAGTCTCCCTGCTCGGGAGCTGAGCGGGGCCGTGGCGTTGCAGGCGATCACCGAGGACAAGTACGAGGTCATCCAGTCGGTGGGCGACGCCGCCATCGTCATCAAGAACACGAAGGAGCCCCCGCTGAGCCTCACCATCCACCTGACGTCGCCCGTGGTGCGGGAGGAGCTGGAGAAGCAGCTGGCCGGAGGTACGGCCGGCCCGGGCCCGGCAGGGCGCGGCGGAGCACCGGGAAAGCGTGCTCTTCAGCTTCAGCAAGGCGTGCTCTTCAGCTTCAGCAAAGCGTGCTCTTCAGCTTCAGCCGGAGCCCGGCGGCTCCCTCTGGGCCAAATTCCAGCGGAAAAAATTCCTTAGTTCCGCCAACCTCACGGCGATCCCCGGTTGCGGTTTATCCGGGCCGAGCACTCCGAAGCTGAGGAGCACCTTTCACGTGGGATTTTGCTCTTTTGATTTTTTTTATTTATTTTTTTTTATTTTTTTTTTCCTCCGAGTATCGTTATTATTTTATCCTTTGTTTTGGTTCCACTTGGGCCTTTAGTTCACTAATTCATCATCTCGTTGTATTACTCGTGGTTTGTCCCCGGCCATGTCAGTGCAGTGACATGAAAATAGAAAAGCAGATTTGTTTTAAAAAAAAAAAAAAAAACCCAAAAAAAAAACCCCACCACCACCCTCTCGAAGGCTTCTTGTCCGAGGAGTTGCATGTCCATGAACCGGGGATGTTCCGGGATGTTCCCCCGGTGTGTGTTGCAGCAGAACGACGGGGTGTGCTCGGGGCCCCTCCCGCGGCTCTTCCAGCACCTCAGGTTCAGTTCTCCGGAAAGCGATGCAGAGTTTTGGATAAAGTTAGCTCCTCCAAATTCCCTTCGGGGTCAACAATCCCAGGCAACCGCTGGTTGTTCGCTCCGATTCCGATGGGCTCCGTAGGGCCGGCGGGGTCCCCCGCTCTGCACTAGCCTTATCTAAAACCCTGATCTCCAGCAGCTTCGGGCGACTTTCAGGCCCTTCCTCAGTTTTGCTGCAGCACAGACCGGGGCCCTCGTTGTGCTCTTGATTGTTGATCTCTGGTGTTGATCTCTGACCTCGTCTCCGAGCCTTCTAGTTTGTCGATTTTAGGGACGCTGGACCTTTGACCAACAGGACGTTCTCTGTCGCGGGCCGGGGCCGGGGCAGCCATCCTTCCGGGCGGAGGGTTCCCTGGATCCCCTCCCCTCCCGGGCGCAGAGCCGGGGGTCACCCACCTTAAATTCCCCCCCGGTGACCCCTCCCGGCCTCGCTGCCGCCTCTCCATCCGGCAGGGATCTCTGTCCCCTCCACCGAGCCTCTCGCTCCTCCTCCTCCCACCTTCTCCTCCTCTTTCTTCTCCTCCTCTTCCTCCTGCCTCCTCCTCCTCCTCTTCCCAGAGCGCATTCCAGCCCATCCATCCCTGGGAACTGAGCTTCCCCCCCCCATCTCTGCGGCCGCACGCCCCGGGCGAGGCCGCACGGCGGCAACGCCGCAGCCCCTTCCCTTCCCTCCCGCTCCCGGCATCCCGGCAGGATTCTTTGGGAGCCTCAGCTGCCCGTTAGGATGCTGCCTCCTCCCCCTCGGCCCGACAGAAGCCCCTTGGTCAAACCGTGCCTTGTCTTCTTATTCCATCCACGACTAGAAACGCTCTCAGTCACCGACTCCCCGGACGTTCTGGACAGGCAGAAATGCCTTGCTGCCTTGGCGTCTCTGCGCCACGCCAAGTGGTTCCAGGTTTGCATTTTGTTCTTATATTTATCTTTAAGTAGAAACATTGGTAAACTCTTTAAGGGGCTGAGTGTTTTTTTTCGGAGTTGGAGTGGCCGCCGGCCGCTCGGAGGTGCCGGACTTAGCGGCTGTGGGGCGGCACAGCTGCTAAAGAGGCGCCGCGGTGACACTTTAGGAGCCTTTTGGTTTTTCTTTTGGTACGGAGCAGCCGCGGAGCTGCTGCTTTGTGTGAGGAGTCAGGTCGGTGTGGCCGTGCCCTCGGTGTGGCCGTGCCCTCGGTGTGGCCATGCCCTTGGTGTTGCCATGCCCTTGGTGTTGCCATGCCCTCGGTGTGGCCGTGCCCTCGGTGTGGCCATGCCCTTGGTGTTGCCATGCCCTTGGTGTGGCCGTGCCCTCGGCTCGGCCGTGCCCTCGGCGGCTCCGGGCTCAGCTCCAGGCACGGAGCTCCTCCGGCTTTACCCTCGGCAAAGCAGCACCTCGAGAGGGACTGGACGGCGCGGGCGGGCGCGCTCGGTGAATCCCTCTGTGGTTTCGGTTCCGCTTCCAGGCCAGGGCCAACGGGCTGAAGTCGTGCGTCATCGTGATCCGAGTGCTGCGGGACCTCTGCACCCGCGTTCCCACCTGGGCCCCGCTCCGAGGATGGGTAATTCCCTCCCTTCTCCCGTTCCCGGGGGGATGAGGGTGGTGGGGGGGGGCTGGCAGCATCTCTCTGGGCTGAAGTTCAGCTCTCCTCTTTCCCAAGTTTCCAAGGCACGGCCCCTTTCCCAAGTCGGGGGGTTTCTATGGATGAGCGACGTGTCCGCCCTTAAAGGGGCAGAGCGGATGTTGTGTGGTGCCAATCAGCCACCAGCACAGTGTTAATTGGCTTATTAATTACCCTTCACATTGTTAATTGCCTTATCAATGACCCACCACATTGTTATTGGCCTTATCAATTACCCTTCACATTTTTAATTGTCTTA